AAAGGAAAAGAATGTGTAAGCCCTTAACATAAATATCAGTAAACAGACAAAAAAATGAAGGGAGAGATATTTTGGGACAGCCCTATTCTACGATAGAGATTTGCCATACGGGACGGATATTTGTTTACTAACATTGGATCTGTGTGTCTGGAGATTCCCTTTTTTCATCATTGTGCTTTTTACAACATTTTATCTTCTTCAACATTGTACCGGTACAAGCAAACCATTGTACCGGTACAAGCAAACCATTGACCTGTAAGTCAATAGCTTTAAATTTATTTTATTTTTTGATTTTGCTATTCATTATTAACATAATAAAATGTATTAATTGTAGTTATCCCTAGTTTGGGTATCATCTTCTTTGTTATTGTATTTTACATGTGGTATCGTCTTTTGTTGTGTACAAGCCATATACTCAAATGAAAGATTAATTTCTCCATACGGATAACATATTATTTTATTACATAACAAGTCGCGTCAATGCCAATAAGCCAACAAGTCGCGTCAATGCCAATAAGTCAACAAGTCGCGTCAATGCCAATAAGTCAACAAGTCGTGTCAATGCCAATAAGTCAACAAGTCGCATCAATCCCAATAAGTCAAAAAGTCGTGTCAATGCCAATAAGTCAACAAGTCGCGTCAATGCCAATAAGTCAACAAGTCGCGTTAATGCCAATAAGTCAACAAGTCGCTTCAATGCCAATAAGTCAACAAGTCGCGTCAATGTCAATAAGTCAACAAGTCGTGTCAATGCCAATAAGTCAACAAGTCGTGATAATTTAGTCCAATCGAACGCCCTCTAGTTGGTCCCGTTAAAGCTTTTACAATTTTTCCAATCTGACGGTGAGTAACAGTTAACCCCCAGTAACCCTTGACCTCCCTTAACCTTGACCTCTAGTAATCGATATTCATCACAGAACATGATTTTGGAAAAATGGATTATTATCTAGATCAGTGGTTCTCAACCTTCCTAATGCGGTGACCCTTTAATAGAGTTCTTTATTTTGGGATGACCCCCAAAGACCCCAACCATAAAATTAGTTTCGTTGCTACTTCATAAATATGTGTTTCTCCGATGGTCTTAGACGACCCTTGTGTTCGACCCCTAAAGGAGTCGTGACCCACTGGTTGAGAGCCACTGCTCTAGTAGCTTTTATGGCGTTTAAAAGACGGTTAGTAAAATTTGACCCCAAGTAACCTTTGACCTCCAGTAGCATGTGTGCTCTATTAATCGATATTCATCACAGAATATGATTTTGAAACTGGATTATTAACTGGATGAGTTCATATGGATGAACGATCGATTAATGAACAATCGTAATTGAATTATTCGGCTAGCACTAGCAGTGTCTCAGATGGTCAACACAAGAGACTACGCTCGCTACTCGCTACCACACACGGGCCAATTAGCAACAATGAAAAGAGTATATTACATTTTCGCCAACATGATGCAGGTTTAGGGCACTCGAGACAAGTAACATCAATGGAAACTTTGATGTGCTCACATTTTGGGGGCCCAGCACAGGGTATAACAGGGCGAATGAGTGTGATGAAACCATAACATGGTTTTTAAAATCAGTATTTGTTTACTTAATTAATCAAAACAATTTTTTTCCCCTAGACAATAAATTACAGATGTTATCTGTTTTAAAAGTAATTTATCTCAAGCCATACGTGATAGAAATATTAAAAATGGTAGTACCTTGACAATAATATCTGAGGGACCGCGTTCATGCAGTGTGAAGGAAGTAGTGGAACAAGATATAGTAAGGCTTGAAACGTTTCGGCGAGAAGCCTTCTTCGGCAGACAAGGCCAACCCAGAAACGACAGATAATAAAATATTTTTAAAAAATCATTTGCAGATCTCAATCATGGAGACAAATTACTCTCTTTTGGGGACAAAGTGCTCTATGTTAAGGACAAAGTGTGCTCTATGCCGCAGACAAAGCGCTCTATGTCTGACACAAAGTGCTCTATGCAAAGTGCTCTATGCTGGAAAAAAGTGCTCTATGCTGGACACAAAGAGCTCTATGCTGGACACAAAGTGCTCTATGCTGGACACAAAGTGCTCTATGCTGGACACAAAGTGTTATTTTCTGGACACAAATTGCTCTATGCTGGAAAAAAGTGCTCTATTCTGGACACAAAGTGCTCTATGCTGGACACAAAGAGCTCTATGCTGGACACAAAGTGTTATTTTCTGGACACAAAGTGCTCTATGCTGGACACAAAGAGCTCTATGCTGGACACAAAGTGTTATTTTCTGGACACAAAGTGCTCTATGCTGGACACAAAGAGCTCTATGCTGGACACAAAGTGCTCTATGCTGGAAAAAAAGTGCTCTATGCTGGACACAAAGTGTTATTTTGACCTGTGTTTCACGAGATACTCTGATACAAAGTGCTCTATGTCTGACACAAAGTGTTATTTTCTGGACACAAAGTGCTCTATGCTGGACACAAAGTGTTATTTTCTGGACACAAAGTGCTCTATGCTGGACACAAAGAGCTCTATGCTGGACACAAAGTGCTCTATGCTGGAAAAAGGGCTCTATGCTGGAAACAAAGTGTTATTTTCTGGACACAAAGTGCTCTATGCTGGAAAAAAGTGCTCTATGCTGGACACAAAGTGTTATTTTCTGGACACAAAGTGCTCTATGTCTGATACAAAGTGCTCTATGCCAGACACAAAGTGTTATTTTCTGGACACAAAGAGCTCTATGCTGGACACAAAGAGCTCTATGCTGGACACAAAGTGCTCTTTGCTGGACACAAAGAGCTCTATGCTGGACACAAAGTGCTCTATGCTGGACACAAAGTGCTCTATGTCTGATACAAAGGGCTCTATGCCAGACACAAAGTGTTATTTTCTGGACACAAAGTGCTCTATGCTGGACACAAAGTGCTCTATGTCTGATACAAAGTGCTCTATGTCTGACACAAAGTGTTATTTTCTGGACACAAAGTGCTCTATGCTGGACACAAAGTGTTATTTTCTGGACACAAAGTGCTCTTTGCTGGACACAAAGAGCTCTATGCTGGACACAAAGTGCTCTATGCTGGACACAAATTGCTCTATGTCTTATACAAAGGGCTCTATGCCAGACACAAAGTGTTATTTTCTGGACACAAAGTGCTCTATGCTGGACACAAAGTGCTCTATGTCTGATACAAAGTGCTCTATGTCTGACACAAAGTGTTATTTTCTGGACACAAAGTGCTCTATGCTGGACACAAAGTGCTCTATGTCTGATACAAAGTGCTCTATGCCAGACAGAAAGTGTTATTTTCTGGACACAAAGTGCTCTATGCTGGACACAAAGAGCTCTATGCTGGAAAAAAGTGCTCTATGCTGGACACAAAGAGCTCTATGCTGGAGACGGAAGTGATGGCATTCACGGCAAAATGCATGTTTATCACATAACTCTGTGTAGCGTACTACCGATAATATTAATAATGATAATTTCAAGTATTTCCGAATGCTGAAAAAGAGACCCGTGGAGACCACCATAATGTTGGTGTAATTAAAGCACTTCCAATCCTCCTTACTTACGGCTCTATCACCTTTTGTGACCAATTATTATCCTATCTTATGGGGATTCGAAATGTTCTTTCACAACATCAATCATCACACACTATGAATATCGAGCCCATGACCCACATTCTTTGTATACAATCTTGGTACACACCCTTGGTATACAAAGTCAGTACACAAACTTAGTACACACAATTGGTACATACGCTTGCTACACAAATCGGTCAACAAACTTGATACACAATTTTGGTCTCAAACCAATGGGTCAAAGATGTTTTTCCACTCCACCGTCTAAACTATTGGCACAATGACGCCAAAAGTCAATAATTTAATCATATAGGCCATCACTCCTAATCGAACTATCAGCTTATCGTCAATAATCTTTTAATATCATCCATAAGCTTAGTGTCATTGCTCTCAACCCTGACCTTGATGTCTTTTTTCTCCCCCAAGACTTGGGTGTCATTACTCTCACCCATGACCTTGGTGTCATTACTCTCAACCATGATCTCGATGTCATTACTATCACACATGACCTTGGTGTCATAACTCTCACACATGACCTTGGTGTCATTACTCTCACCCGTGATCTTGGTTTCATTACTCTTAACCATGATCTTGTTGTCATAACTCTTACCCATGATCTTGTTGTCATAACTCTTACCCATGATCTTGTGTCTTTTTATCAACCATGATCTTGGTGTCATTGCTCTCACCCCTGACCTTGGTGTCTTTTTTCTAAACCCAAGACCTTGGTGTCCTAACTCTCACCCATGATCTTGTCGTCATAACTCTTACCCATGATCTCGGAGTCATTAATCTTACCCATGATCTTGAAGTCATTACTCTCTACCATGATCATGGTGTCTTTACTCTCACCCATGACCTTGGTGTCATTACTCTCACCCATGATCTCAGTGTCATTACTCTTACCCGTGATCTTGGTGTCATCCATGATCTTGGTTTATTAGTCTTACCCAAGATCTTGTGTCTTTTTTATCAACCATAATCTTGGTGTCATTGTTTTCACAAATGATCTTGTGTCTTTTCTCTCACCCATGATCTGAGTGTCATTGAGCTCAACAATGATCTTGATGTCTTTTGTTCTCACCCATGATCTTTTAATTGTAAATTTTATCACATATGATCTTGTTGTCAAGTCTATCTCCAATGACAGTGGTGTGAAGCCCCTGGGCAGAAATATCGTTATCTAGAATATTCCCGTAATATCTGGGTTATCCAGCTTATTTTCGATTAATCGCTTTTTATCCAGCACATCCCTTATCTATTGGCAATCCAGCCTGTCCCATATGAACTTGGATAAAATGTGAATCCCAAATCTGGAAATTCCTGACAGACGCTCGTTTGGCGGCAGCACTGTGTCGTCGGTTGGGTGGGCAAATAAAAAGCTTGGATCATCCGCCGTTCCAGTGTGTCGCTCTGCAGTTGATTCCACCCGAACAAGGACACAACCAGGCATTCTAAAAAAACAAACAAAAAAAAAACAACTAGTATTACATTTTAAATAAATTAGTATTACATTTTAAGCAAACTTCTACAAAAACCAAAAATGACTTATCTCTACTTAGTCGTGTTACTTATTTTCACAGGTAAGTTTAAAATATCGTAAAACAAATAATTGTATCATAATATTTCTGTATAATTGTGTTTATAAGGTGGTGGGTCTTTTAGTTGACATAATAATTTCTTTTTTTTAAAATTTGTATTGGATTCATAATATTAAATACTAAAATATAGAAAAATTTAATAACTTACAAATATCTTTTAAATAGGCCTGCATTTTAACATCTTTACAATCTTCACTTGTTTGTATATTGTTTAATGAACTTAAAATTATTGATTGTCGTTACTGTTTTCATTAAATTTTGAGGACCTCTGGCTATTTTACTGTGTTATTTTATAAATTCGAGATCTCCGAATAACCCTTTAAACCCCCATGTAGGATACTTAATTTAAAAAAAAAAAAAATTTAATAAAACACATTAGACCTATGATTTATTTATTTCTTTTATTTATTTTTTTAAAATTGACGACTATTTCTGTTCACAAGTAACGGTCATTTCAGTGAGGAATTAAAGTTATTCATTAGGATTACTTGGCGATAGTTCCAAAATGACGTGTCCTGTAATTATTGTATATCTTACCCGACTTGGAAAAGTGGTCTTGTGCAATAACGCATCATTATTTAATTGATATTAAAAAAAAAATCAGCCCACCATGCCAAACATCACATTTGGATTTTCATCAACCTTTAATTTCAATTTTTAACATCACAAATATTAATTTTCTAAAGCCGGGGCTATGTGTATGTGGGTGAAAAAAAAGGAAGGGGGGGGGAGGGTGAGGGGGGTAAATAACATCTTATAAAAAAATTCGCTTCGCTTTTGTTCGTGTGTTTCTGTCTTTCTTTCTGGCTGAGGGGGGTGTGTGGCAAAAAACTTCGGAAGGCTAATTAACTTACTTACCGTCAACCTATCGCGCGGAGACTTGGCACATACTCTCGGTACCGATGACAACACATGATTTCAAAAGTTCAGCCCCACCTTAATATCCCTACACAACAAAAATAAAATGTACGGTTTTTCACAGAGAATGTGAATAAATATGATGCCACTGATTGCACGGAATACAATTCCCGAAAACTGCACTAAATGAGAAGTGCGTTTGGTGGATAATATTTTCTTTTTTTCTTCTGAAATAGTTGGTGAAATAAATGTGCAGTGCAAAAGTGGTTGCGTCATTGGGATATTAATATGAAATAAAATAACTAAAAATTGCCTGTTAAGGATTTATATGAAAAACGTTGTTTTAAGGGGCTGTTTAAATTCTATTAGGGGCTGTTTAATTTTTTTAGGGGCTGTTTAATTTTTTTCAGGGGCTGTCAAAATTTTGTTACTGGCTGTTTAATTTGTTATGTGTTGTTTAATTTTTTTTTTTTTTTTGGCTTCTTTCTGTCTGTTTTGAAGCATAAGACAAAGTAAATTCATCAAGCCAGATACATTGTGTATCATGTATTTATCAACACGCTCATCAAATATGGTTGACCGTCTTCTAGTATTCTGTACTTTCTGCATCCCTTTTAACTGGCTAAAATGAGGTGCTTGTCTAATGGCAACTACCAATCCTCCATAAACCTGGTCAACTGATGGCTCTCATTCGAGTATTTTAACTGCAATGCTTACAACATACAACTCTGAATTCAAACCAGGAGCCAGAATGATCAATACATTGATCGTGGGCCCTCAAGGAATAGAGAATAAAAAACTACAACTTTAAAGTAATTTTGCATTAGTACGTGACAAAAATAATAATCCCTCGGGCTGTTTTCTTCTTTGGCTTATCATTCCTGTGAAATATCTAGTGTGACTAGAAGACTACGTGGACATCAGGGAGAAGCGATAAATTAAAAGATATGCATTTAAGATGGATAACAGAAGAAATCTAAATATACTAATTGGGAAAATGTTAGAAGGTTCACCTTTTTTTTATGAACACACTCAAAACTGTATAAAATCATTTTCGCGCGTTACTAATTCCGGGGGAAGACCAAACTATGGTGTGAGAGCCGCGGGAGTGTTCAGTAAAACTCTTATCAGAAAGATTGTCAAGGGAAAGAATCACTATTATTTAAAAACGAATTTTGCAATGCCCCTTAATTATTTATTCTGCAAAACGAAATAACCTTACGGCAATGTCATGACATTAAACACACGTTCTAAGCCACCTTTACGGCAATGTCATGACATTAAACAACACGTTCTAAGCCACCTTTACGGCAATGTCATGACATTAAACACACGTTCTAAGCCACCTTTACGGCAATGTCATGACATTGATTAGCGTTCTAAGCCACCTTTACGGCAATGTCATGACATTGATTAGCATTCTAAGCCACCCTTACGCCAATGTCATGACATTAAACACACGTTCTAAGCCACCTTTACGCTAATGTCATGACATTAAACACACGTTCTAAGCCACCTCTAGGCCAATGTCATGACATTAAACACACGTTGTAAGCCACCTTTACGGCAATGTCATGACATTAAACAAAAGATATTTTATTCGACAGTGTCCACAGATGTAGGCAATCATTCTCCATAAATATATCTAAAAAAAAAAAAAAACTATGACAGTTGGATACTAATAATGACGAGATTTTGTAGGATCCACAGTTTCCCAGATTTTCAGTTCGCCCAAAGCTTCTTTTAAAATGTCTTATAACACATGTTTGCTCTAGGCGTGGATCACAGACGTCTCCTCCATCCGACCTGAGCTGGCCCCCAACACTAAGAGCTGTTTACTTATCCTTTACCCAACGGTAGCTCGTTTAGGGCTTGAATGTAGCGAGGCCATGCCTCACCCTCTAAACCAGCCTATGTAAATAATGCAGAGCATTTTGGCTATATCAATACTGCGTCGCATTTTCGCTACCTCGGTAATTCGCAGCATTGTAGCTATAAATATCGAGTCAAAAATTGGTATTGCATCTATTTCAAATCATTCAGAGAACCTAATAAATATAAAAACTACATATTAATTGAGCTATATCAATTATATAACGTCATTTAGCTCTATGAGCCATTCACAGTGATTATTATTTAGCTCTATGAGCCATACACAGTAATTTAGCTCTATCAGCCATAAACAGTAATACAGCTCTATCAGCCATACACAGTCATTTAAATTTATCAGCCATGCACACTAATTTAGCTCTATCAGCCATAAACAGTAAGTTATCTACCTCAATAAAATATAATAATTGAGTTACATCAAAAATACACTGTAATTTAGCTCTATCAGCCATACGCAAACATTTAGCTCCATCAGCTATACCCAATAATTTAGCTCTATCAGGCATACACGGTAATTTAGCTCTATCAGCTATACACAGTAATTTAGCTCTATTAGCCAGACGCAGTAATTAAGCTCTATCAGCTATACACAGTCATTTAGCTCTATCAGCCATGCACAGCAATTTTGCTTTGGCAGCCATACACAGTAATTTATCTACATCAATTAAAAATAATAATTGAGCTATATCAAACATACACGGTGTTTTATATATGTCAATCACACATCAGACATTTCCTATATTTGTCATGCACAATATATTAGTTTTTAGGTAAATAGTTTTATGTTTTTCAAATCAATTCCCCTTTGAAATCCTTATTAAATTGGGTTTTCTTCGTGGGACGCTGGCTGGCTGGTTGGCAAAATCTTAAGATGGCTAATTGACCCCCTTCAAGCAATTGAGAGGAAAATTGGCACATAGACTCCTAGCCGATGATAACCTCTAACCCAGACCCCCCCCCCCCCCAAAAAAAAAAAAAAAGATTTTCCCGGTTTTCAAGGGGGAGAACAAAAAAAAACNGGGAAGATCAAATAAAATCCTTGATAACTGCGCCAAATGAGATTCTTACAAAATAAATAGTTCAAGTGCTTTCGGTGCGTAATATTTTATGTTTTCTGAAGTAGTTGGTGAAATGATTCTGTGGTGGAAAAGCAGGTGGGTCATAAGACTATTAAAATAGTTAAGGGGCGTGAAAAAAATGTGCGATTGCGAGCGGAAAAAAAAAGGGGGGGGGGGACTAATAGGTATTCTATTGTTAACTTGTATGCATGATTTGTCAAATATTCAGCCCCCACCCCCAGTTGCTCGATTTTACATTTAAAAGGGATTTTTACGAAAGACGTCTTTAGTAGTTGTTTAGTTGTAATGATTAAAGACAAGAAATAATTAAATCATCCATTTGTTTCATCTAGAGATTTTGAACAAAAATACGCCTCAAAGTAGAAGTAACGCGCTTTACCAAAGTTGACACATTTACAATGAAGTGGCGTAACTAAGGTTAGTGCCACTGGAGCGCGTCAAGCTTACGCTCCCCCCCCCCCTATTTTTTTTCACGAAACAAAAAATCTCTGCAGTTGGCCAAAAAAAGGCACCCCTCAAAATAAGGGAAAGAGTGCCACACGGGGTGAACCGCACCCTCCTTCCTGCGCCCCTGGTTCATGTTTATTACAGTGGTTGTCATAGTTACTGTAGTGATTGTCATTTTTATTGTAGTGATTGTCAAAGTTATTGTAGTGATTGTCATATTTATTGTAGTGCAATATTGCATGTGATGAATGGCCACAATTAACTTTAAGTACAAAGGGGGGTGGAATATGGGGGGGGGGGGGGAAATTAAGAAAAGTAAAACGGATTTTGCAGCAAAACGGAAATAAGCAAAAGGAAAAGTAACAAAAGCTGTTGCCAAAGTTTACAGGTTTTTTTTTTTTTTTTTTTGTTTTTTTTACTGATGTGTTTAAATCTACAAATTACATTAAAAATAAAAATGAAAGTTTCAGAAAACCTCTCTTTTTATTCGTCTGATGGCCACCTTCGGCCATTGGCTACGTCATAGTTTGATCGCGAGTAGGGACCAATCAAACAAACCATTATATTTTACCGGCTGTGTGTAGAGAAACATCAGCTTGGATTCAGGGGAGGACTATTAATTGTATCATTCGTATATATAACTATCTCTTTTTTTTATTATTATTATTAACTATGTTGCTCACTTTTTGTAAGGTCAACCATGACTAATCTTGTATTGCATTTTTATTCACAGGAACAGTTGATGGACGTAAGTAGAGAAACAAAATTAAGTTTATTTAAAACAGAAAAAAAAATGTATATTATGAAAAGGAATGTGAAATGGAGAGAAAAAGAAATCATGAGGACGAACGGTAAAGAAAGAGTGGGAAAAATTGTGTGTGTGTTGGGGGGGGGGGAGGGAGGCAGACAGACAAATAAAGGAAGAGTCTAAGTTTAGTTAACTTAAGTTTTAAATTGGCCCTTAGTCTTAGTTAAACACATAATAATGGAGAGAGAAAGAATCGTTAAGGGGTAGAGAAAGAATGGTTAAGGGGTAGAGAAAGAATGGTTAAGGGGTAGAGAAAGAATGGTTAAGGGGTAGAGAAAGAATGGTTAAGGGGTAGAGAAAGAATGGTTAAGGGGTAGAGAAAGAATGGTTAAGGGGTAGAGAAAGAATGTTTAAGGGGTAGAGAAAGAATGGTTAAGGGGTAGAGAAAGAATGGTTAAAGGGTAGAGAAAGAATGGTTAAGGGGTAGAGAAAGAATGTTTAAGGGGTAGAGAAAGAATGTTTAAGGGGTAGAGAAAGAATGGTTAAGGGGTAGAGAAAGAATGGTTAAGGGGTAGAGAAATAATTTTTAAGGGGTAGAGAAAGAATGATTCATTAGAGGAGAGTTGAGGTGGGTAATAGTGAACGAAAGCGATAGAGGAGTACTTGCAAATAAAATAAAATAGCACATGGTTGGTAATAAATTGTCATGCCATTTCACATCGTTAAATTTGTTGTTTTTTTTGTTGTTTTTTTGGTAGAATGTGTAGACCAAAGCCAGGCAGGTGCTTGCGGCTTTGCGTTTTCTGCTTCCTTTTACACTCACGCTACAAACACTCAGCTGGTTTGTGGGTAAGTGGACCATTTCTTTTCAAATGTTTGTCTTCATGTCTTTGCCTCGACTCCTGTAGGCTGCACTGAATTAGTAAGCAACGGAAAACTGTTGATTTAAGTCCTAGTTGAACAACGCATATTTTTTTTAAATTTGCTATCTACTTTTTAAATAACATTGTATATCTGGAACAAAATAAGGTTGGTGTTCACTGTGTTGAGTGTTTGAACATAAAAAGCAGACGCTACGATTTAAACACATCTTGAAATGGTGAATTCCACTTTTTTTTTTTTTTTTTTTTTTTTTTTTTTTTTTTGTTTTGTGGGGGGGGGGGGGGGCGAGGTTAAATGTGAGCCCTTTATATTAACTTCAAGTGTGTTCCTTGCTGGTTGGCTGGCCAAAATTGTCGGACGGCGACAAGATCAACTTCCCGTCAACCCAACGAGCTGAAACTTGGGACATAGACTCGTTGCTGATGACACGGGTTGTTTCATTTTCTGCTGGACTTGTTTCTATTCCCTCCGTATTGACCAGCTCTTTCAACTCGCCACACCATTTAATAATAACATGTCGACGACCGAGGTCAATCAAATTAAGCAAAAGGCTATATTGGGTAACCCGCCCGCCGTGCTCGACGGAGGCATCAAACTTTCAAAATGTACTTTGATACCGGCATCGTCACACTTGACTTAAATTGATCTAGTGCATGAAATGGAAAAATTTAGCCTTTTAATGAACTGGGATGTATCACGGTGTGGGCGGAAACTGACCCATCGGACAGATTATCACTTTCACACATAGAGCTGAAATACACACACAGGTGCCAGGGGCTAGCTAAACATACGCAACTGGAAAAGTCATCTGTCCTCTACTCACACACAAAACATTTGAAATTTAAAAAAGTAACGACTCTGGTGCCCGCTGGGTTTGGGGAGGGTGGGTTTTCACCCGGCGCCCCCTCCCCTCAACCCCTCCCCCCAATGCCGTTTCAACAATAGTAAATTCTAACTGGTGCTCGTTTCTATTTCCAGTGATGTGAATACCTTCGACGCCTGCGTACGGAACATCTCCTGCCTCGCAGAAGCACAGAAGAACGACCAGATTAATCAGATCAGAACGTTAGTCACTAATCAGCAGGGAATCACGTGTCGTATGTACTAAGTTGTATTTTCTTAAAACTGGTCTATCCTAACCTCCCTTAGCCCCCCCCACCCAACCACGCCTCGGGCTTTTATTTGAAGCACCAAAAAAGTCTGCGGCTATTCGGACCCGGGTCCGTGAAGTGAGAAATTGGGTTTATTAAAAAATATTAAAATATTATTGTAGGGTGTGTAAGACAAAATTTGGTATCAAAATAAAGATAATGGAATGGACAATATTTTTGTAAACTTACTTCTTAAGTTTAACTAAAATAAACTACAACAAATGACATTCGAATGGCATTTAGTCAAAATGGAATCGGAAACGCATTGCCACTATTCGGATCCGGGTCCCTTGAGACTCAATGCTATTTGGATGTCGTTTGTGGGGGTTTGCTTAAGTTAAACTGAAGAATTCAGTTTGCAAAGATATAATCCATTCAATCATTTGATACCAAATTTTATCTTACAACCTGACAATATTTTTTTTTTAAAAATTATAATCCCAACATCTAACTTCTCGGACCCGGGTCCGAATAGCCACTTCGAAAAAAAAAATAGATCCAAAAAGAAAAAAAGAAACCAAAACAACCGAACTGTCTGTGCTGACGTCTAGAAAATTGTAGTACAATTTCGTGCATTGTGTATATCTTGAGATTCAATGTTGTACGGTAAAACTTAAAATAAACGAGATAAAAATGTTTGAAAATATTGGATTTGAAAAAAAAAAAAAAGCATAAAATTTAAAAAAAAAAAAAAAAAAAAAAAAAAAAAGGTTTATCGATGCACTCTCCCCACACCGCTCTCCTCCTTTTGAAACGTTAATTTATTGACTTCCCGGAATCCCAATCACACGACTCCCCACCCATCAATCTTCCAATTTCCACTTCCACCTGTGGGGTATTCACCACTCGTTACACACTGACATTACCAATGAGGACAATGCGAAGGTGTTAAACACTGACATTACCAATGAGGACAATGCGAAGGTGTTAAACACTGACATTACCAATGAGGACAATGCGAAGGTGTTAAACACTGACACCTGGTGTTGTTTTTTGAGAAATGAATTTATGAATTTTAAATAAGTAAGATTTGTGCGCAATGATCGATTTTTATTACAGATGTTGAAACAAAACGTTGATATGATTTAAATGTATACCCTTAATGAAAAAAATGTTTAACAGGTATTTGATTCAGAGGTGTTAGCCATTGCAAAGTGTACATGGATTTAGTGAACAATTATGGTCGACTATGCGCCGAGTATCTGATCATTCGGTATGCTTAACAAGTAAAGCTTTTAAAAAACTTGGAGTTATAAATCGGAGTTGTTGATTTCAGGTTGACGTAAAAAGTCTGATGGAACAAAAGGCTTGAAATGCGTTTAATTCGCAAATCATGTGAACCCCCGCCATAACGCGAATTTGGATATAACGCGGTCGTAGCATGGCTCCCGAAATGTGAAATTCATTTACTCCATCAGGCCTAAGTTCTTTGAAAATTTTATCCATTGCTTGGAAAGCCATTTTTTTAAGCGAAAAAATCACAAACTTTTCAAAATATCGTAGAACATGAGCCCCTAAACGGAACCACGTTCAAACTAGTATCAAAATTAATGCCGAAAACGAGGCTTTCTTCCGGTAGAACTATTGTGAAACCGCGCATTAACGCAAACCCGCTTTTAACGCGATCCGATTTGATGGACAAAAATCATCGCGTTATAGCGGGGTGCCACTGTACTTTGTAAATATAACGATGTAACAAAACAACTGTTATTTAAAGATGCCTCATTAATAATTAAATGAATTTATTTCACATTGTCTTTTTTTCAGCTACTACATCTCCGGTACAAAGTAAGTTAACTTAATTTACAGTATTGCATAGTGACTTTAATACAAACAAGTAGTGGTACGTTATGGCATATCATATCGTTAAGAAGATCCAAACAAAATATCTCTATAATCAGCCAGTACAGAACAGTCAAAAAACGTAAACACAATAAACAAAGATTTAAAAAAAAATAATAATCTAAATAAAAGCTACTCTCTGACCCTGCAAATAAGTCGGTGAATGTGTTCACCTATAAAACTGTTCAAATTCAACTCTGTGTTACATTTCCAAGTACAGAGGATTTTCTTGATTTTTTTTTTAAAAATTGAATTCCCCAATATGTCTACAGGAACAACATTTATCATTTTGTGAAATAATTGTAAATATGAAGAACTTGATGACAAAAGAGTCTGTTATATCCTTTGTCTCAGAGCCAATGCTTAATTCGAATTATTTCGGTATTCACACGTGTACTGCTTTAATGGGCTAGATGTGTTTCAATTGAAATGTAATACTACCTGGGGGTATATTTAGTTGTTTCCGTTGAGCCTATCTAAGTTAGGGTGACCAAACGTCCCGTAAAAACGGGATTGTCTCGTTTTTTCACGATCGTACCCGGTGTCCCGAAAAAGTCTCTCGGGACGCCTAAATGTCCCGTTTCTAAGACCAAACACATTTTCAAATCTCTAAAACTTGCTAATTTATAGTATAACTTAACGAGTAGCTGTGTAGCCAGTGTCATTAGTGATGTGGGCTAGCTGTGCAGCCAATGCCAGTAGTGATGTGGGCTAGCTGAGTAGCCAGTGCCAGTAGTGATGTGGGCTAGCTGTGCAGCCAATGCCAGTAGTGATGTGGGCTAGCTGTGTAGCCAGTGCCATTAGTGATGTGGGCTAGCTGTGCAGCCAGTGCCAGTAGTGATGTGGGCTAGCTGTGCAGCCAGTGCCATTAGTGATGTGGGCTAGCTGTGCAGCCAGTGCCATTAGTGATGTGGGCTAGCTGTGCAGCCAGTGCCATTAGTGATGTGGGCTAGCTGTGCAGCCAGTGCCAGTAATGATGTGGGCTCTCGTGATGGCTGCACTGTTCCTCCTCAAACAACTCTGCCGACGCTGCGTAAGCGACAGTGTCCCTGCAATATTCACTGCAAAATTATGGTTTTCGGTTATGATATGCCTCAGAGTTTAAATTAAACTACAAAAGTGAAGGTAAATTTAAAAAGATTTCTAAGTCTCAAAATAGTTAAAATGAGCATATTTTAATAAACTGTTTCCTGCGGGGGCCTCCAGACCCCTCTTTAGCTGAAGGGTATCCCCCCCCCCCCCAAGCCCTCTTTTGTGTGTGAAACGTTGTTTTTTTCCTTTCATGATTTGGTCACCCTAATCTACTTGGCCATTTTTAAAATTGTGTATAATATGTGAAGGACTGCGTTCAAGCCACGTGCAGTAAATAAATAGTGAAAAAAGATATGTTTAGTGGCACAACATATGTTTATTGTAAAAAGATATGTTTAGTGGAACAAAATATGTTTAGTGAAACAAGATATATTTAGTGGAACAAGATATGTTAAGTGAAAATGAGTAAAACAAATTTAGTCAAACCTGAAACAAGGAATGCAGCAAAACAAGGAACGTGTCGGCAGGAAGCCTTCGTCAGCGAGCTAAAAAAAAAAAGATAAAAACAGAATTCAATTTAAATTAAAAAGAATTAGCAGCAAAAGAAGAGAGGGCAGCAAAAGAAGAGAGGGCAGCAAAAGAAGAGAGGGCAGCAAAAGAAGAGAGGGCAGCAAAAGAAGAGAGGGCAGCAAAAGAAGAGAGGGCAGCAAAAGAAGAGAGGGCAGCAAAAGAATTGTAGAACAAGATATGTTCGGTATAACGAAATATTTATAGGCTTGGATATTAAAAAACAAGACAATTTAATGGACGTTTCGGCAAGATGCCTTCTTCAGCAGACGATACAATAAAGTAAAGAACTGCTGAATTTCAATTTTAAAAAATAAAAATTGTGTGTTCAATGATCTCAATGTGTACCCACTAGACAACTCCGCTCATCCGATAGTGGCAAACTCTCGATACCACGTGTTTGCCTTGAGACTTTCGAGGGACGCACATTCACATTTGCTGGCCCAACAATTTGGAACACCCTTCCTATCGCTCTCAGAAACAACCAGACACTGGAGTCTTTCACAACTGATTTGAAGACTTATCTATTTCGCAATCACCTGCTGGGTTGATGTTGCCTATCTAGCTATTATCTTGTAGATGTATATTGGCCTGTGTTGTTTATGGTTGCAAGTTATGAAAGACTTAGAATGGGTTTTCTCGTATGTAGTTTTTGTAGTATGTTGCATTTTGTACGTCAATGTGGTATGTACCACGATTCGAACCTTTGGGCATGAAGCGTGATTTTCAAATAATCTTTAATATTATCATTATTATTTAAGTCAATGTAGCTCAGAATAAAAAGAGTTCTGTTTGTTTAAATTTATATGTATAACGAATCATTACAATTTATTTAATAGAGACACAGAAACAAATATATATACTTAAGAAGAAACAGTTATTTAAAAAAAACAACAAAAGACTCATTAAAGTGTCCTTGTTTTTCAGCATGCCAGGGGTGTGCCGTCCAATTCTTAGCGCAGAGTAAAGCTCACGTCTCCAACGATCTACTGCTGTGCAGGTAAGACATTGTCCGATGGATCATGTACGCTTTTATCCACTCCTGGATCACTCTACATCCAACACGTGGAAACCAATTTTTTTTTTTTTTTTTGCAGCGTCGCGATCAGCGTGTGTTGTAACGTGCTTTTGTGATGCCATTCGTTTAGCAATGGCCAATAAGTTGTGCCAAGTAAGCTGGATAGAGTGGTGATTTTAAATGACGTCATAATGTGAAATGTGGTGTTGAAATCACTTTTTTTTTTTTTTCATCGCGTCCAATTGGTAAAAATTAAGAACATGTGATCAAATCGTCTGTAAGTTTGTTTCTTCTCTTTTCTTCTTCTTATGTTTTTCAAATTTTTTTTTCCCATCTCAAAGACGCATTCAAATTTCGTTTAAATTGAACCTTGTTTTTTGTTTTTTTTCCTTTAGTGACTTCAGGATAATGGAATCCTGTCTCGGCACTGCCACAGATTGTGCCACTGACTTCAAACAGGCGTTAATTGATCAAAACAAGGTTTTGATCAACTTTAAT